TTTTAGCGCTTTAATAAGGCTTTCGAAAGAAATGGAGAAACTTTTCGACGGTTTAATCGAGTATTATTTTCACGTGAACACGATTCTCTCAAATGAGAATTTTGCTAGCCTCTTTTCAAAAAAATCCTTAAAAATGATTAAATGACAGTCTGAATGTTTATTTACTCAGAGTGATTGGTCCTAATGCCACCGTGATATTCAAATCTTTAAAAACAAAACGTTGAGCATCTGAATTTTTCCAAGTCTGTTTGAAACATTCCTTTTTCATTCTGAAATTCATATCAAACATGCTCTCTTGATTGATGTGCTTTTTTTTATCAAACAACGATAAGACATGAATGAGACGGAACAAAGAGACTGATTCTATTTTGTTTTTTTTTTCGTTCTATTCTATTCTTAACTAAATGACTCCAGCAAAAATGCACGCAGTTCTTGCAAATAAAAACATATTTTCGGCTTGAAAAACACAAATGTTTTTTATTGAAATTCTGATCATTGGATTCATTACGTTGAGCTCTGTCGATTCATGTCCATCTCATTACGTTTAAATCTTTTCTAAATCTTTTTTTCTATGAAAAAATCAAATTTTCCCGTGATATCAAAATGCGGTGCGACTTTATTTCATCACGCCATAGAAAAATACATGTAAAATTGTTGATGATCAGAAAAAAACATGCTAATGTATCGTACTAGCAGAAACAGTAATTTTTTAAAGTTACTCTAGAGTTAAGGTCGTTCGCTGCAGCATCAAAAAGGATTTGATATATATATTTTTTCAACATTGTCATAAATGAAAGTTTTCAAAATTTAGGCCATAAGAACAGACAGACGTCATGTTCCTTCGATCATATAATTACGATAATAGGCTTAATTGTAGACTAATTTATGAGATGCGTACGTAAACGAATTAATATTATTAACTACTAACCAATTTGTTTAAACAAGAATTAGATAGTTATGAGCTGATTGGTCAATAAAAAGTATGCTAGCTATAGTCCAACTTGATTCTTTGAGTATTCTCTCTATGATATGAATATGTCACATTTGGAACTTCAAATTGTAAGTCATGTATAATCTTGTATTATGATAATTTCAAGGAAGTTTATGTTAAAATCTTCTGCCGTCTCGTATATATTCATAGTGCTTGAGCTTACCTACATTCTTTCTATTGATTATTTTCGAAAATTCCGAAGTTCGTCTAGCGTCAACAGGTATTTTTCTATTGTGTGATGAAATAAGAAAACATGGAATAGATGCAGTGATTAGGATAAAGTTACACTACTTGATTACATCACAGCGAAAATTCGATTGATACGGGGAGAAAAACGATGAAGGTGGTATTAAAAGCAGTAAAAAAGACATCAATCGATAGAGTTTTACCTAAAGATTCAAATGATATATTTTTTGATTCGGAAGACGACAATGTTACGATAGAAAATTAGATTATTTAATGAAATTCGTATATTTTTGCTGAAAATGACAGAATTGGGAACGGATAGTAGTTGTGGTGATAGAATTAAAATATCGATAGAGCTTGAAAAAATCAAAGTAGATTTTCATGTTACGGTTCCTATTCATCCATAATTTCGTTATTCTGAGGAAAAGTTACATGAACAGATGAAGAAATGTTTACTCGATTTCGGAAACTAAAATTCAGTTCAAACAAACTTAACAGAACAGAGATATAAAGGCTGTACTTCAACTATCTGAAAAAAGTGATGGAATTAGGATATGTTACTCTAATCAATATTTGTTGGGAATAAAATTTTGTGGTAAAAGATGATTCCTGAGGTAAAATCCCTTCTCAATTTCATTTTTATGTAGAAAACTGATAGGAATCATTACTTTTTATAAAGTGAATAGAAATCAATCCAAAGTAATAAAAGTAATGTTTCAAAGGAGATATCACTTTTTCGAGATTCTTTCCAAGGCAATATGTGTTCATAGTAAACTAAAACACAAATGAATTAATTGACAATGAATTTATAATGTCGAATAGTAGCCTGATATTTCTCAAGATTACATATTTTACCTTGATAAATTAATAGACTTTTAAACTGAACAGTTAGAAATTAATAATTTAGTTCTTTTTAGCTTCAGCTCTTTTTAAAAAGTCCTGGAAGATAACATTAGGAAAAAATTCTTCAGTACGATCCTAATTATTTGGAATTGGCGGAAAAGGCAGAAAGGAAAAACACCGAAAAGGAAAATGTCGAAAAAAAAAGGAAAACGTACAATGAAAAAGATGTCCATAGATAACGAAAGTTTTTTCTTTTGATTTGGTAATCAATGCAAAGCAATTATTGAAGGGATTAACATTACTACTTGGATCACACAAAAAAGAAAATAATACTGATAAACTTAGTTTTCTTTTTTTTTATTGTATTTTATCATATGATCGAATAAATTTTTATTTTTCGTTAAAATTATCAAGAAACGCAATTTTCGCCATTTACCTTTCGACGTTTTCCCTTTCTGCCTTTTCCACCAAACCCAATTATTTTAGTCTTAAACAACAATAAAACATGCTCATGATCTGTAAATATTTTGCCAAATCCTGATAGAATCTTTCATGTTAATTTACGTAAAGTTATTAATTTCAACATAACCGAATTCAGGAAGAAAGTCCATATCCAGAAACATATGATGCAAAAGAAACACATAATCTTGAGAAAAGCGAGAGTATTGATCATGGACAATAGTTTGTTAAAAGTGGCTTAGATTTGAAATATGTGAACAGCATTATTTATCCGCAATACTTTCTTAACTATATCACTGTTAATTTGAATTCATATAAATTATAATTAATTTCGTTACATCTAGAGTTTTCTTTTTTCGATTTTCATCTATCGTTAACTGCTTTAGAATAAATCCAGATTAAAAAAAAGCGATAGACTATGTCTATTTTAAACGATACAAGAATTACGAAAATTCAATCATGCGTAGCAATGGCATCGTTTAATATCGATACACATGAGCTTAGAAAGCAATATTTCTCTAGTTCATCACAGAATATTCATTAATGTTAACAGTCATTCAAATTTGAAGAGAAACTAGATCTATTCTCGAGTCAAATCCAATAAATATGAATTAACCTCAATACTGTAGACTTGGTGTTTTTTAATAATCATTTGTGTATACTAATTGTTTAGTATCATTAAATTAATATTAATATTTCGGAAAAAACAGGTAGTTTTGCTAGAAAAATTATCACTGAACTAATAATGTTTTGATTATTGCTTTACTTAGAACTCCCCAGCATTCTTACTGAGATTTTATAGATCTATCGACAGATTTAACTCGAGTAGAATATTTTCAATGGGATCAAACTATTGTAGGACAAATACCTCTCACGCCAGTCTGCAAAAAGCATTAGAGAAGACTCGTTCTAACTTACGATCAAATCTTTGCCTTAGTTCCAAGTGGATGAAATGTTTGTTTATCGTGCGATTAAATCTAACACTTTTGACACGGAAACAAACGCCTGGTGTGATAAGTTCTTCTTCTTCTTGAGGATATTCGGAGTGTTCACTGAGATCAGCGATAAAAGCAAACAATACCTCCAAGATAAATAGTGTATTTCCAAATTCTACTGCTTTTTGAAAATTGCGACTGCAAGAAGTAAATGCTTGAAACGATCGATATTCATTTGAATTCTTGGCCATATCTTCATACTTGGTAATTTGCTCGGGTTTCAAATGAGCTCCACGATACAGCGTTTTATTCCTTGTCGCTTTTTTATTGAATGGATCATCCCAGAGTAGTAAACAGAATGGTCCCAATGTACGAATTTTACTTCTCCATACTTGCTCATGTTCCTTTTCTCCTACTAATCTCATAGCCGCATTCAAAGTTGTGTACAGGAAACTCTCCAATGAGTAAAGATAAGCACAGCAATCCCATACTTCTTCCATATCTTCGTTCTTTGTTGCTTTGAGCATATTAGCCAAATGCTCGGCTTCTTTTTGTTTCTGAAGATATTTACCTTCTTCGATGATACCAAGGGCAGCTTTTTCAACAAGCATCGGGATCATATCTGGTTTTTTCGTTGGTAACTCTTGTGATTGAAGACCCAAGTCTCTTCTGACTTCGATGACGAACGGTGATACCCAACCATATCGACCACCAAATGAACGTCCAGAACTCACAGAAAGATCTACGAAACGTGCTTCTCTTAAATATTTATCTTCCCGCTTTCGTACCACTCGTTTTACAGGACGTTGTTTATTACTATCAAGGTCGGATACTTCCAGATTATCTTGAAAATCAATATAATATCCGTCCAATAAAGCTCGTGGTTGTTTATTTGAGAATGCTTCTTCCATGATTAAATTTTCTACGTCTGAATAGTGGCTCCACTCTTCTGGCTCGGATTTCGACCATGGATCCGGGTTAGACTTCCACATCCACTCAACCGTTTTTAAAGAATCATTTGATTGTTCTGATGTTGCATAAGCCATAATTATCAATTTTTTCGCTTGTTTTCAAAGTTGAAAATACGTTAGTTTTGGTTTGTTTTATTATCTGAAATAGAGTTGTTACTTTATGTTTAATTTACGAAATCAATATAAATTCAATCATCATATTTATCGAATAAAGATGAAATAAAGAATTATTTTCTCTCATTTGTAGATACACAAATACCAAGTATCAGCATAGAATATACTAATCGATCTTATTTCATATCAGCAACATCATTTCTATATGTAATATTATTAAAAAATGACGTTGATACATGAAAAAATAATCGCAAAAACGTTCCTGCACACTACATTTCTGTCTGTAATATCATATCGTGTTGGGAGCTAGCTGATAATAGCTAATTAAACGTTAGGTTCTCAAAGAAAAAAACATTTATTATTATTTACATTGCATCATTATTTAATAAAGATAAGTTAGGAAATTTCGTTATCTTTATTTTTTAAATAACAAAGATTTTTTCATTTATTTAGTTTCTTTTTAAAAAGATAAAGAATTTATTTACAGATATTTTTTATTTTACAGCAAAATAAAAAAAGTAACACCCTTAATCTGAAAAATGAATAATGGTCCAAAATATTTTGATATCGTTTTATTTTCTGCAAAACTGTGGGTGTGGCAATAGATCCTATACGATACTTTGCGTGACAGGTATCAGTTTTTTTAGAGTAATGTTTTCTCATTCAGAACATGAAATACGCTCAGTCACACTCCGGTATATATTCAACGCATGGGCTTTTCCTGGTGACCCCGTCAAAAATTATACTATTCGATAGATAATGGAATTTTGCGTGTACGGAACCCGGGTGGAAACCCAACATAAACCAGATAACGAATCGAAGCTGGAAATACTTGAATACCATACGAAGGGAAGAAGTGAGAAAAGTCGGTCGGTGAAAGCAGTATACTGGGCGAAAATTTTCCGGACTGTTTTCACTGATTCCCGACTAGCTTCCCACTCTTTCTCGCTAAAAATAACCCTAGATCATCGGAAAAAATGAAAACTTTCTCTGTGCCGGGGTCTGAAATTATCGACCTGAGTAGAAAAAAAAGAATTAAAATACTTTTCAAAACATCTAAACCAATGATGTGAAAGTGAACAATATTACCTAGCACCTTCATCCTTATTCACTTGAAATTTTTCAATTTGCAAATTGCAATGCAATTAAATTAAAATAAGAGAATAGATCCTATTCCGCGATAGTGAACATTGCGGACTCAGTTCCGCCCACAAAGTATATTCCTTCTAATACCCAGAGTTCCGTCTGATTCCGGAATTGAGTGAGGATCCTGTTAATGCCATTTGTTGGGTGTGAGTGTAGCAGAGTAAAAAACGGGCTTACCCACACCCTCAAGAACTGATCGCAATGAATGATCATTCTAACGAAGTAAGCAGTCACCTAAGGGTGTGGGCGTGGGTGTGTTTAAAACTATGATTTCAAGCTTCACGTGACACATTTCAATCAAGAATTAATTCGATCATCATCAGGCAGGTTGGAAACCGGCCAAACTGAATTTGATTTTTTGCTTATTCAAGAACAGCGCCTCGAATTCTCCAAAAAAAAGTCGAAGAGCTGTTGCTTTGTTTTTCTCGATGAATCGAGTTGCATGGTATCATTAACGAAAACTTGACGTTGGAGAATCGTTTTTTACAGATTTTATTGTATGTGCACAATTAGATAGACGAGCTAATACTAATGATCATAATTACTATCGGAGAAATAATTTAGACATATAAGAACGTCATAATTATGTTCTAACAAATAAAAAATTCAAATTTCATTTCTTTTAGTCATGAAAGAAAGATGTATTACTTAATCAAGTATTCAACTGTGAAAACTGAAGATTAATATGGCTGATATTGCTTATTGGAAAAACTCATTCTCTTTTTTTTTTATTGTACGCCCTCACTCTGTTACCTGTTGTTACTTGAGAAATTTTCAAATTCTAGAATGTTTATTCACTGTACAGAAATACTGTAGATAGTCATTTTTTGGTCGCTAAAATTGATAGAATTCATTGCTGATTAGATACTAAAGTCAATATAAAACACGTTCATTTATTTTTTGTCGTAATGCCTCAACTTATTTTTCATTTCAGAAAAAAAGAATAAACTGTTTTTCGCCTTTTAATAAATACAACTGATAGTACCAAATAAAAAATTAAAATGAACTCTACTTGATAAACACAACAGATATCATACATATCTGATCACTTTTTCTCAATCTTTACAATACCTATAATTCACTATTCTTTATATTACATGTTACTGATTCAAACAGTGCAATCAATCAATAATTGCAAAACATTATCATCTTGGAAAACTAGACATAAAAAAGATAAGACGAAAATAAGTGTATGCTGATAGTCATGGAGAAAAATATGCTGTTTTATTTTCTTCAACGAGAGATAATGTGAATTATTTATAGTTTTAAGAGTAAAATAAAAAACAAATGTTGTGGGTGTGGATGTCGATATCTACCTTGATAACATCACCCACCCACACACCCAAGATTCGTTGATTTAATTCATATGAATTTATGTTAATATATATTATTTAGTAATTGCCTGTTCAATTGTCATTATTTGGAATTGGAATAGATATTTCATTGAATTCTTCTTATATTTCATCTTGCTTAAATTTTGATATTATTTCTTTTTGTTTATGTTGAATAACAATAAATAATTGTATGTATGTTGGAATAAGTTGATGTAAGAAAAGAGTGTATATATATATTTCTTTTCTTATTCATGTCGATTGTTGATAATGTAGCTATATAGCTTTGTCGATTGAATTTTTTTACTTTTTATTTTTCATGTATTTAAGTTACTACTAGCTAAGTTGATGTTTTGTTGTATGAAATAATATTTATATATTAGTTTTTATAGATTTTGATGCACTCATATAATGAATGTAATCATTATTTTGTTTTCTCCTCTAATTATCTTCTATCTTATGTTGTATTGTTTTGTTTACCTAAAAATATTTCATTTTCAACAATAATAAAGAAATTCTATTTAGGAAAACTATTGATTATTAAATTAGTTGTTTTTAAGTTAATAGGATGTAGTTGAATAGTTTTTTTTCTTCTTTGCAGTGGATTTATTATTCGAATCAAAGTTTAAAGTTCCTTTCTTATACGTCTTAATGATGAAACAAACGATATTGATTTCAATTTTTTTGATTCGATGAATAAAACTTAGAATTAAAATTTTCTATATGAATTAAAAATGTGATTTTACTTGATATTGAATCTTGTATTTTTATCTACTAGACTATTTCCTTTTTTCTTACTTAACTTTCATTATATTCATATGAGAATTTTGTTTAAATTTATTTGCTCACTCGATTTTGACGCAGTCGGCTTTTTTTTTATATTGTTTCATTCAATTTCTTATTATATCTGAAAATGTGTCTATCTATTTGCCAAGAATTACGCAATTAGAATTCGTATATAAATCGGAGCATCTGCTGGGTGTGGGTGTGGGTGATGTTATCAAGGTAGATATCGACACCCACACCCACACCCAATAATCCAGCAGTATATAGTTTTTGTATATTCCAATAGTCTATTGTTATTCAGTTAAAATTGTAAGAAATTTTCTTAACAATTGCAAAAGAATACTCTCGCTACTTTTTGAAACACCCAACAACCTCAACATACGGAATTATGATTTTATTTATCATTGATAGAATTTCTATTTGAGTGTGAGGTTGTGACTGAAAGAAGAACAACATGAACATGTCTACATCCCGCAGTCGCACCAAACCAATGTTCAGATCGTTCTAACTTGTTGAAGAACAAAAGATACGCGATTTTTTAGGTGGCGCAGCAAATGTCAACGTATTTACAGAATTGATTTTAATTCAAATTCGATACAAGACAATCAATATTTGACAGAAGTACAACTACAGATAATTGAGATTTACAGCAAAAGCAAATGTAAGTACAAGAAAAGATGATAGTCAACGAGACTATACGATTTCTGCCCTTTGAAAGCAACGGTTCTGGTGATGATCAACTTGGAATTGATGCTTGTACTTGTCAACTAATAATCGATACCATCGGCGATAACACCCTGATACATTTCGTCGATCAGGCTCATCAGTATTGATGGTAGCAACGGAACGATATGGACGCACAATATCATAATAAAACATGATTATCATCAACAGCAAGTAGACAGATGACAATACAATACCAAACAGAAATAGGGCGTTGTTTGGACACTTCTTTTCCTGTAACAAAGGAATAAGACTATATAGTAAAATAATTCCGAGGCTATGAATATTCGAAGTTGCTTCAAAAACGACAGTGACTATCAACTATTTTCTACCACAAAACGAAGTTATCTGAACGATTTCGAATAACTGAAGCATACTAATAGTTTCCTCGTTATCTATGCTCAAATTTTCCACTCAATAGAAACATTAATGATGTATACGCTTTCAGAATTTCGATTAAGTCAGATACTGTTTTGAGTGCTCTATACAGTTCCCCAATTCAACGTCAACTTTAGATTTTATGTAAGACGCAATGCGTGGAAAAATTCAGCAGGTTTTATTTTATTTTTATTGATACATTTTCTAATAGAGCTTGATAAAACTTTTGTTATGAATGACATCAAGCCGAGAAAAAAATCGAATCGTACTTTTAATGTGCGTAATTCAGTGGTTCTAATGGGACACAGAACTTCGCATTACCACAACTATACTAGATGGGCATTTAACTTTAAAATAAATCAATTTTCCACTCGTATACTACATTTTCGAGGAAAAACCAGCAAAAAACACACTTAAAAAATTTGGCATAACACAAATAAAATAAAAATGAAATATTTTCTCAAATGAGCGTTTTTCCAATTTTTAGACTTTTTGAATGTTTCTAACTTGAAAGATCGTTCTAATCACTAAACAACATTTATTTGTGATTAACTTATCAAGCTCTATCAGAAAATGTATCAATAAAATAAAATAAAA